TAATTTCCTTATTTACATTATTCGGACTGTTATCTTCATTTTCATTACCATATTCACAACGTTTTGGCCTCTATAGCTCTGAGATGAGGTATTATGGTTACTTTCCTTATTTACATTATTTGGACTGTTATCCCCATCTTCATTGCCATGTTTACAGCGTTCGCGTTCTATGAGGCCCAGGTCGATTTGTCAGGAAGGAGACTCTCTGAAGTTATTGGAATGGAAGTGTTGATCACAGCCTGCGACACCTTAGAAAATGACTGAAAACCATACCATGGGTATGCCAAGTCTTGTGTGTGAAATTGGGTCGATGAAACTCTTGGGGGCCGTCGATAGTTCTGCTAGCACAAAGTCACAAGTCATCGTGGCCGAGGGCTTGAGCCTGTTGGCCTTGTTCAAATAGTTGATCACGCTAGATAACATGCTCTTTCCCAGAATCTGTAACTAAGGTCTGCTCAGTATAAACCACAGTAGGCTCTGTGGGTGTTGAATAAACACAAATGCGCCTAAGCAAGCGTCTGCAATAGGGACTGGCTAGCCGCCCTAGTACGAGTGGCCTCTGATTGGGAGATTGGAGGAGGTTCACCCTGTCATCTGTTAGGTGCCCAGATATAGACAAGTAATGAATCCTCCAAACAAAAACAAAATACTATAAAACTACAAACATATATTTTTATTGTAAACATACCGACAATACTTTTTTATATGATAAAATTTATCAACTATACATATTTATAGTACAATTACCAACAATACATTTTATAGTACAATTACCAACAATACATTTTATAGTACAATTACCAACAATACATTTTATAGTACAATTACCAACAATACATATTTATAGTACAATTACCAACAATCCATTTTATAGTACAATTACCAACAATACATTTTATAGTAGAATTATCAACAATCCATTTTATAGTACAATTACCAACAATACATTTTATAGTACAATTACCAACAATATATTTTATAGTACAATTACCAACAATATATTTTATAGTACAATTACCAACAATACATTTTATAGTAGAATTGTCAACAATCCATTTTATAGTAGAATTACCAACAATACATTTTATAGTAGAATTATCAACAATACATTTTATAGTAGAATTATCAACAATACATTTTATAGTAGAATTATCAACAATACATTTTATAGTAGAATTATCAACAATCCATTTTTATAGTAAAAACACCAACAATACGCATTTAAAGTAAAATTACCAACAATAACTATTTATAGTACAATTAACATCAATACATTTTTAGGACATATATTACATTATATATTGTAGGAGAATTACAAACAATATATTTTATATTAAGATTACCAACAATACATTTTATAGCAAAATGACCAACAATACATATTATCTGTAGTTGAAGACATACAATTGTGTTTAAAATATATTTAGTTGAAGCCATAAAAATGTGATCAATATATTAAGATTTCGACATTAAACAAGCCATATGCCGCTAAACAAAATCAACCAATCAATTTATGGGATATATTTTAATATCTGTCTATATCTCTGAGATGAGGTATTATGATTACTCTCCTTATTTACATTATTCGGACTGTTACCTCCATTTTCATTACCATATTGCAACGTTTCGGCCGTTGTACGCTCCAGCCTTCTTCAGGTGATTGGAGTTTCAAACCGAACCCTTTATTTCGTCCACTGGGGTAGAGTGTTCTAGTTCCACGTGTCATCCCTCTCCCGGATGTCTAAGTTATTTCCCTTTAACTCAACTCTCCATGTTTTTAGTTCACAACTGCTATAAGATGATGAGACCTTGCCGCCAATCTTTAAGTTCATAAAGTCTAGTTAACATAAGGGAAAGTTCATCAAAACAATTACCATGAAAGGATTTGTAGAAAAGGTGCAAGGAAGGTACATTATGTCGGTTGGAAAGTAACTGATAGCGAGATTCCAGCTCAGGACCAATAACATTGCAAATTCTTTGTGTGTTTTTTTTTATTATTTCACCCCAAGCAAGGTGCTATTGCCACTAGAATGTTGGGATTTACAGGGAATGAAAGTGGAAGCGAATGAGAAGGCTATGTCGGTTGTTGCTATGTTGAAGGTGCCTTTTGCTAGTTTGTTTGCTCTTTCATTAACCGGCATATTAACATGAGTTGTGGTCTAGCCAATGATTGATTTTTGTGATATAATTATTTCAGTGTAGGTTTCTTGATGTGTCTAAAAGGTATGGAGGCTTGAATTCTGCTTCATTCAGAGCTACAACATGGTGAATTTCTGATTGTTTGAAAGCATTGACGACAAACGACAAAGACGATTCGTCAATTCCTTCTCGGACTGAGTCCATCGATCGGGTGAAGCCTGTGTAGACAAAAGTTCTATTCAAGGATTAGTCTTGCTAGCCACCAAAGGAAATAGGCCAGGGAAATTAAGAAGGATGAGTAAGGTGAGATTACGAATGAAATTAAAGACTTGGAAATGGGGAAAGGCCAACAAGGAATTAA